TTTTTTTAATGGAGTCTCACTCTGTTGCCCAGGCTGGAGTGCAATGGTGCAATCTCAGCTCACTGCAACCTCTATCTGCTGGGTCAAGCGATTCTCTTGCCTCAGCCTCCTGAGTAGCTGGGACTACAGGCACGCACTGCCACTCTGGCTAATTTTTTTTCTTTACAATATTTTTAGTAGAGATGGGGTTTTACCGTGTTGGCCAGACTGGTCTTGAACTCCTGATCTCAGGTGATCCACTTGCCTTGGCCTACCAAAGTGCTGGGATTATAGGCATGAGCCACCATGTCCAGCAAGATGATTGCTTTTGTCTTACACAGTTGTGGTCTTATGTTACTAGAATTTTCTAATAAATTAAACCATACTTGTATTATCTAAATAAGCTTGTCATGAACATATATATTTTTCAAATATATAAGTCTTCAGCTCTTCAGGAGGCCGAAATGACATAACACATTTTATCATTAAGAAAGTCTAGGCCGGGTGAGGTGGCTCATGCCTGTAATCCCAGCACTTTGGGAGGCCGAGGCAGGTGGATCATGAGGTCAGGAGTTTGAGACCAGCCTGGGCAACACAGTGAAACCTCGTTTCTACTAAAATACAAAAAATTAGCTGGGCATGATGCCAGACACCTGTAATCCCAGCTACTCAGGAGGCTGAAGCAGGAGAATCACTTGAATCCAGGAGTCGGAAGTTGCAGTGAGCCAAGATCGCGTCACGGTACTGCACTCCAGCCTGGGCGACAGAGCAAGACTCTGTCTCCAAAAAAAAAAAAAGTTTGTGAACCACAGGACAAGAGCTGGCAGGCTCCAGCTTGTTCTACAGACAGCCCAGAGCCCAGAAGCTTCAGGAAGCAGCAGCAGTTTCATGGCTGTTCTCTAAACAGAGATCGAGATTTCTTAAAAGACAAGGCAAGGGAAACAGTGGCGTGGAAATGATCGGAGCATCTGGGCACATTTGAAATAAGGGGTTGGTGAGGAAGGGCTGGGCCATCCCATGTGGGGATAGGGGGCAGAGTCTGAATAGGGGTAGGCAGCTGCGACTGGGGAGGCCACACAGAGAAATGCAGGCTTCTGGGCTGACCACGTGGGCTTGAATCCTGCCTCTGCCGCAGCATGGCCAGTTTTTCTCCTCTCCACTTCCCCACTCAGGTTGGGGGCAAATAGTCAAGATATCAAATTAAACGTGCTCTTCGTCCCGAAGACCCCATCTGGTGGACAATACCACCAGCACCCCCACCAGCCTCCCAGCCAGAGCCTGGGCACCCCGTGATGCCTCCCTCCTGGGGGACTGAGCGTTGAGGATGGACCCCGTCTGAGTCATGGTCCGTGACCAGCCTGCTCCATCAGGGAGGTGATCATTCAGTGTTTATTGAACAATGAATACAGAAAGAGAGTGCACGGAGCACTCTGTGTGTGGAAAGTAGCCCTTCTGGAAAGAAAGAATATTCATGGTCCATGTGGTTTGAGTCTGTTAAGAACGACACTAAGGCACACGGCTGGTGACCTCTGGGTCACAGATGCGGGTGAGCTCATGGTGGAACTCCTTCTTCTCTGTAGGTTTCCAGGCTGCACACGGAGGTGAGGGCAGAAAGCTGGGCAGCCCGGTCCATCTCCCCACAGCTTCCTCCAGGGCAGGATCTCCACCCAGGCCCAGGCTGCCCATTCCTCTCCATCTCTGCCAGTCCGCCGCTCGGCTGCCACGACTCACACCAGAGGGATGGGGTAGGAGGCGCAGGCGGCCAGGCCACACATGTTCTTCCCACGCTCGATGAGGAAGTACCTGGGCAGAGAGAGGAGCTGAGGCCCGGCCGGTGGTCTCCTCACCACAGGCCTTTCTAGAATGTTCTGCTGCTCACCAAGAGCTGACTCCAAGGATGAGACCCTCTGAATTTATTATAGAACAGCAGCATTCAGTTTATTTGACCAGCAGTAAATTGTTGACCTGACTTTGTGAATAATTCATTCTTCCCTCTCCTTGGCTGCTAAATGAATGATCCATACCCCTCTTTTCCCGAAAATTTACCGAGGGCCCCTTCTTAGCCTGGCTGGGCTCTCACACAGCTATTTAACCACTAGGATCCCGAGGGAACATGTAAGCTCTCCTTTTCAGATGAGGATATGGTCCGGGAGGACAGGACAGAGGCATGGCCACATAGACACCCAGGCGGCACATGCCAGCCTTTTCTCCTAGGAGGAGGGGCTGTCCCTGTTCAGGAGTACATTTGTTGCCTTGATTTCTCAAAGACGGATCCTCCCAGACACCGACTTCGTGCTAACAGAGTTCAGAGTTCTCAGCTGTTTTCCCAGCAGCGATTACAGATCCTTCTGAGGCAGCCGGCCTCCTGCCCTCCCTGCAGCCGTCCTGAAGACCTGGGGCTCTGTGAGGGCTGCGAATGGGGGCTTGGAGATGCGGAGGCTGCGCTCACACGCTCCCTTTCCCCACGGCCTGGGCTATGCCCGGCTGAGCAGCTTGTCTGTCGAAGCCGTAACTTTGAGGTGGAAGAGACGGGCCTCCAGGCCTCAGCAGTGTCCCCCTCCCTGCAGTGAGACCTGGGAGCTGCTTACCCGTTCATTCCCCACTCAGGACCCCAAGAGTTTTTCACGATCCAATAAGGGATCCCGTCTTCTTCTCCATACCCAACAGCCAGTACTGCGTGGTTAACTTTATCTGGAGTTTTATGGCAGGAAGTACTGGAAAACAAAATTAAAAACGAGGCGATCCTAGGGGAGGGATAAAGGCATGACGGTCCCATCCAATGCCTCTTCAAATGCTTCAGAGCAGTGTTCCCCACGGGGGGCCAGGGAGGCCTGTAAGGTGGTGATTTAATCACCAGGAGAGAATTCTTTTCTTTTTTATTTATTTTTTGAGATGGAGTCTCACTCTATCGCCTAGGGTGGAGTGCAATGGTGCAGCTGGGGTGGGGCTGCAGGGTGTAATGGCAGATAAGCGTGAAGAAAGGGGGAGGACCAGATCATGAGGGTCCCCGCCAGGCTCGGACCCGGGGACAGCAGGGACGCTGCTGTATTTAAAGGTTGGCGTGGCAAGAGGAGGGTTTCAGAAGGCAGATGGCTCCCAGTGGAGGCTGGACCAGTGTGTGGGGGCGTTGGGGGCCCGAGGACAATGGTGGCTGGGGCGGAGCCTCAGGGAGGGAGCAGAGGGCACAGACCTGAGCAGTGTTAATGGGCAGGCTGATGAAGGGAGGGAAATGGGGCTAAGAGGTGCGGGTGAGCTTGGTTTCTCTGAAGAAGCCTGGCTGACTCTTCCAGCACAGGACCCTGCTGCGTGAGGCTGCTACGCTCTCCTCCCTATTTTACGTCTTCAAATTTCTGAACACGGGTTTTCTTTTTCTTTTTTTTTGAGACAGAGCTTCCCTCTGTCCCCAAGGCTGGCGTGCAGGGGCTCGATCTTGGCTCACTGCCACCTCCTCCTCCCGAGCTCAAGCAATTCCTGTGTTTCAGCCTCCCTAGTAGCGGGGATTACAGGCATGCACCACCACGCCCGGCTATATGGTTTTTGTAATTTTAGTAGAGAAGGAGTTTAGTCATGTTGACCAGGTTGGTCTCAAACTCCTGGCCACAAGGGATCTGCCTGCCTCGGCCTCCCAAAGTGCTGGGATTACAGGCATGAGCCACCACACCTGGCCTGAACATGGTTTTTATTTTATTTTTATGTTTATTTTTTTGAGACAGACTTTTGCTCTTTGCCCAGGCTGGAGTGCAATGGTACAATCTCTGCTACTGCAACCTTGGTCCCCCAGGTTCAAGCAAATCTCCTGCCTCAGCCTCCTGAGCAGCTGGGATTACAGGCATGTCCCAGCACGCCCGGCTAATTTTGTATTTTTAGTAGAGATGGGGTTTCTCTATGTTGGTCAGGCTGGTCTCGAACTCCTGACCTCAGGTGACCCACCCGCCTCAGCCTCCCAAAGTGCTGGGATTACAGGCATGCGCCACCGCGCCCGGCCTGAATATGGGTTTTTTAAAACTGGAGGCAGCTCTTCTGTGAAGCAGCACAGAGCTTCACATTTTGGCCCTAGCTATAACTAGCCAGGTGGCTTGGGTCTGTTGTAACCCTTCTGAACTTCCCTCTCCTTTGCCATGAGAAGAGGCCGTGGTTCCTGGCCCTTGGGGCTGTGTGAGGATTAACTGAGGGGTGTGTAAAATGCCCAGCGCCTGGCAGGTGTCACGAGGGGTCTGACACCCAGGAGTCTAGGCTTCGATAAGTCTCACGAGAGGGGTGTGAGGAGGCCCACCCAGCCCCTCCCCACTGTCCCTCCTGGCTCCTGGGACCCCGGCTCACCTGGAGTAGATGCCCCGTTTATACATCATGAAGTCGTGTGTCACCTCGAAGGCAAAGCTCACGGGGTTGTAGAGGGCCACGGCCTCCACCATCGCATCCTCGTCATACTGTGGAGACAAGATCCGCCTGTCACCCCTGCTCCCTTCACAGCACAGACTTTTGCCTCCAGCAAGGGGCTAGAGGCCCAGAGTGGCGCAGATGGCCAGAACGAGCTCCCCTGCGGCTTCCCTCCATTCCCGTCTTCGGCTCAGTTTGTCTGGCCATCTCTCGTTCCTCTGCCCAACTCTGCTCCTAGGAAACCCTGTACCCTCTGGGACAGGGACCATGATGTTCAGCGTGGACTCTCTCATTCCATCATTCCCTGAGGCTCTCTCCTGGGCCAGCAGCTCTCAGGGGTGCAGAGATGGGCGTGATGTCCCTACTGCCACCCCAGGACTCCCTGCACCCACAAACCCAGTCTACAAAGCCGTGCTGGTAGAACGTGGGGGTAATAAACCATGGACAGGTAGGTCACAGATGGCTGTGGGAACAAGAGAAGACCCAGCCAAGGGCTGTTGCCTTCTGAGTAGGTCCTGTCCCCTCCAAGTGGGAAGGAAGGTGGCAGGAAGTCGGTAGCTTCCTGGAGGCTGCAGCTTTGAAATGAGCTCAGAGGCCAGGTGACAGTAGCAGTTAGAACCCCATGCGGAACCTTAAAAAACCCCCAAGTCCAGGCTGCGCCCCAGACCGACTACAACATTGTCGGCAGGGCGGGTCCCAGGCATCGGCACTTTTTAGAGCTTCTGGGATGGGGCGGCTGGGTTAGGGTGCGCTAACGCAGAGACCTCTAGGAGTGGAAATGAGGGTGGAAGTTACCTGCACTGAGGCCAGGGCCCTGCTGAAGGGAAACAGGTGCTGGAGGAAGGGACGCCCAGCCTCCCTCAGTCCTGCCTCCCTGGAGGGGTGGACAGAGACTCAGCTGTAAAGCAAGCAGCTGCCTGGCAGGGGACTGCCTTCCTTCCTGGCCCGTGGACGAGGCCTCGTGGGCCCGACAGGTCGGGGCATATCTGAGACACGGAGGGCACAGAGGCTGGCCCGGCACAGGGGTGACGCCTGCTGCAGACAGGTGGCACATTTCCTGCCACTTCTGGCCTTCAGAGCCCTGCAGCTGTCACCAATGAGGCCCTCTCTCCTGGGGACCACGCAAAGGGATACCTCTGAGCCCCGAGTTCCCCTCTCAGTGAGATATCATGGCCCAGAGCAGCCAGCCTGAGTGACAGCAGCTACATTCTGAAGACGGTGACATCCTGAGTGCAGGTGTGGGCTGTATGTTGTCAAGGCGCTGAGCCCTGGTTCTAGAATGACATACTCTTAGTTCAAATCTGGCATCCACTTCCCAGCTCTGTGGCCTTGGGCGTGTTACTGAACCACTCGGAGCCTCTGTCTCCTCATCTATCAAATGAGGTAATAAACATACTCATCTAGGGCCAGCACGGGTCTAGGTTGATGGTTGGTACAGTGCCTGGAAGTACTCCACCAAGTTAAGCTGGTACTGCTGAGAGCTTGGTACATGCTTCCACTAAATGGCAGCTGCTGTCATTACATATATAGCGCGTTTGTGAAGTGCACATATATTTGTGGGCACACACGCAACCTGAGGGCTATGCCTCCGCTCCGCACACACACCCTCCCACACTTGCACACATGCGCACTGGAGTCCTGAGGGCGCTCACTCACGTTCCAGTTCTCTCTGGGACAAGCAGGCTGAGACTACCACTTCCCTGTTCATGTGAGGTCCATGTGACTGCGCTTGTTTTGGCTTTAGAGCTGCGGCGTCAGTTACCATTCTGTTTCTCTCTAGTCCTGGCGAGAGGCCAACGGCACCGAGCACACACCACCCTCCCTAAGCTGTGCAGGGGTGCAGGAGTGCCACACCCCCTTTGGCTGTTGTCAGCCACTCAGATTGGGTGTGGCTGTTACTGCAGCAGGGCCTGGCTCATCCTGAGTGACATACACGCAGCAGGTCTTGAACTCCTGGCTTCAAGTGATCTGCCCACCTGTCTTGTGGGACAAGACAGATTGTCCTCAGTCTCACATGCGCTGTGTCAAGCACGTGCTCATGACATCTTCCGCAAGATGTCAACAATTGCTTGCATTTTACAGGCAAGAAAATAGAAGGGAGGTGTATGCGGAGCTGGAGTTTGGAACCAGAGACCTGCCACTCGGAGCCACGGTTTCCTCATCTATCAGATGAGGCAATAATGATACTAATCGCCTAGGGCCAGTCTGCACTCTCCCTCCCATCGCCCGCCTTGCCACCGTTACGGCGACTGAGATCCAGTGATGACCTGAACTCGTCAACCATGGGACGTGCTGCCAGAGGGCTGCCCTGCTGGGCCCGCTGGCCATCTGACAGTGTGACAGCGACCTCCTCATCACAACGCATTCCCTATCCCAGAGAGGGATCAGCACTCACGATTGTGATGTTGGCGACATCCTTGACAAAGCCGATGGCCTTTCCGGGCTGGAACTTGCAGTCACTGTCCTGTTGAGGATGCAAAGGGCATGAAATAGAGGTGAGGGACCTGAAGTCTCAGCGTCCCCTTGCAGTTCAATAACATTAACTAAGCAAAACAAGACGTGCAAGGGCCTGGGGGGTGGGATCATGTCAGAGAGAATTAGAGCATCCTTGTCTTCAAGGAGCTCAGGGTCTGGTGGCAGGTGGTCCTGTGCTGGCTTTGGCAGAGGTGGGCACACAGGGTGTGTGGTGGGAGCCTGGGGAGGGGCCTGACCCAGCCTGAGGAAACTCTCTCAGAAGTGAAGGCTGAGTCAGAGCCTGTGTGGCAGGGGAGTGGTGACAGTCCCAGCCCAGCAAACAACGCTGGCGAGAGGCAGGTGCAGGGGTAAGGTCACAAGGAGGGAAGCGCAGCCCTTCCAAGGCAGGAGAGGGACGAGGGACAGGACTGGTGTTCAGGGATGAGCATGAGGCCTGTGGGTGAGGCAGGGGAGTAAGGGAGATGGGACAGGGACACTGGTGCAGAGTCTGGGCTTTCTCCTGAAGGCTGCGTGGAGCCTCTGCAGCGTTCTGATCACGGCAGGAGCTGGGTCTGAGAGGCCTGGGAAGGGCACCCTCCATGGAGTAGAAAAGCCCAGGTCTGAGTGGTCAGCAACACGGATGGGCTAAAGGCGCTGTGTGGGGTCTGTGGGCTCCGCAGGCTGGCAGCAGGGAGGGCCGGGAGGGGACCGGCCCCACAGGACTGTGGGCACCCAGGAGATTCCAAGGGACGCAGTGCAAGGGGAAATGGGGAGGGGCAACGGTGCTCGGCTGTGGCTAGGCTGGGTGGAGGTGATGGCGGGGAGGTCCAGCAGCCTTGGGAGGGTGAAGGCCAGGGGTGGGCCCCAAGAGGGTCCTTAGTGCAAGAGGCCGACTGCACAGACAGAGGGGAGAGGCCAGAGGATGGCGCTCACGGCAGGAGGGAGAGGAGCCAGGAAGGTGGGGAGGGAGGGGTCCTGAGAAGGCCGGCTCAGGAAGGAGAGAGAAGGTGCCACAGAGCGGGCATGGGGTGAGGTGATGAGAGGCCCCTGGGCTGGTGAGAACAGTGGGCTCGGGTAGGTGGACGAGGGAAGGAAGAATGTGGATGGCACAGACAACCGTGAGAATTCTGGCAGAAGGGAGGTGGGGGGAGAAGGGATGTCTTCCAAGGCTGGGAGGGAGTGAACTAGGTGCGCTGTGTGTCGGGAAGACAGAGCGGAGGCTGCCAGGAGTTACCTTGCCCTGGTAGGGGTAGGTGTCTTCACCCATGATTCCCTTGTTGTACAGGATGTACTCGAAAGCCTGGCTGGGGAGACCCCTGCAAGAAGGACACACCGCTGAGCCCACCTGGGGTCGCTCTGATAGAGGCGGGGCCTGCGGGGGCTGGCATGGGTGAGATGTCTGCCCTGGCAGGCTGGGGCTTGGTTGGGCAGGTCCCAGTGGCAGAGGGGGTCTCTGAGAGGCCTTGGGATAAGACTCAGCAAACTCAGGGGAGGCCACCGGAGTCCAAGGAGCAGCCCAAATGTGCCTCAGTGGGACAGGGACCCCTCAAGGCCAGCTGCCCTGTCAGGAGCGCACAGCCCCACACCAAGGTCAACAGCATCAGCCAGGGCACTGTCATTGCCATGGCCACGCCCCCTGGGCAGGTGCTTCCCAGCCGCGACTCCCTGACCCCGTATGTCGATCCCGTGGGGTGGATGCTGTCATTTGCTGAGGCAAAGAGGCCCAGGGCCACAGAGCCAAAGCTAGGAAGTGGTTACAAAGGTGGGTCTTTGTCTACCTCACATGGCCTCCCCGAATAAATAAAAACTCCGCAGCTGCCCAGCAATCCCCGTCCCTGCTGTTTCTCTCCATAGCATTCAGCACCGTCTGACCTAGCCTAGCCTTGACCGTAGTCTGTCTGAGCCTGGCAGAATGTGCGCTCCTTGAGTTCTGCTGAGCGTTGTACACCAGTGCTTACACACTGCGCGTGCTTCATGACATTTGTTGCATGAATGAGAAAAGGAAGTACTGTCCTGAACCAAAGCAGACTGCTTTGAAGAACAGGCTGGGTGCAGTGGCTCATGCCTGTAATGCTAACACACTGGAAGGCCGAGGCGGGTGCATCACCTGTCAGGAGCTTGAGACCAGCCTGGCCAAATGGTGAAACCCCGTCTCTACTGAAAATACTAGCTGGGTGTGGGCACAGGCCTGTGGTCCCAGCTACCCAGGAGGCTGAGGCAGGAGAATCACTTGAGCACAGGAGGCGGAGGCTGCAGTGAGCCAAGATCGCGTCACTGCACTCCAGCCTGGGGACAGAGCGAGACTCCATCTCAAAAAAAAAAAGAAAAAACAGTGGGACCTCAGAGTGCCAAAATGTCAGATTCTTGTTATGGGTGGGGTTTCTAAGCTGTGGAGAGGAAAGGGACACTGAGCAGGCTGTGACTTCACCCCGGGCCCCCAGGACTCATTCCCCCACAGCACAGCTCCCTGCAGGAGGAGGAAGAACCGGCTCAGAGGGGCTGGCCTGGAAGAGGGATGGTCCCCAGGGAGGTGGCGGGAGCCAGGCAGGGCGCCCCAGGGCTTTATGCACACCACGTGCCAGGTGAGCAAACACCGCAGAACTGTCCCAGAGCTCTGCATGAAGGGAGCGCTGGGGTCACCACAGAAACGTCGGCAAACTCCTGGCAGCCTGCTTAGAGTGGGCCAGGAAAGCGGGCCCAGGTGAGGACCAGCCCTGATCCACGGTCGCCTCCTGCTCGCAGGTTGCGACGAGCTAGGGAGGCTTGAACTTCAGCGAGTTCATCGAAAAGCCAACCCTGCCTCCGCGTGTGGACCTCGGGTTTGGGGGATGACAGGTAATGGTGCTGCTCCCTCTGTTAATCCCGTTGGCCACTCTTTCAGAGGCCTTGGTGGCGGGTGAGGCTGACCTCGCTGTGGAGTGAGAGCCAGGTGAGACAGTGGAGAGCGGACAGAGGCCTGGGCTCGGGGTCCAGCCCTGCCCTGTCCTGGCTGAGACCTGGCCATGTGAGGTGACTGCGCCTGTGCAACAGAGGCCGTGGTGCCACCGCCCGGGGCAGTGGTGGGCGTGTATCTGTGGCAGAGCCGGCACACACTGGGTCCTGTCGAAGCGATCCGTGGGAAATGTGGAGAGGTTCTGGGCCCCTCCTAGTCAGGGACATACCCCTGGCAGCCGTGATTGTTGAAGTCCTGGGCGCAGTCCACCAGCTGCTGCTCGGCCTGGGAGAAGGACACACCGGTGAGCTGCGGGCTGAGAAGCCATCGAGGCTTTGGCACAAGGCACTGAGCCTCCCCGGCTGAGCCACATCTGCGGCCCCATCAGTGCTATGTCAAGGTGACCAGATTATAAACTCCCCAAGGGCAGGGACAGTTGCTATAGGTCCTGCAGTGCCAGCCCAGCAGCCGGCACGTGTTGGGAGGGGTTCAGGAAGCAGGGGCAGCCAGGGAAGGTGAGGGGGGCAAAGGCTGCTGGGTCCGAGCCCCTGGCCTGTAGGTATGCCCACACGAGCAGAGTGTGAGGTCACACGGCGGTGTATAGGATGGGGGAGACAGGCCCAGCCAGAGACCCTGCCCCCACCTGTCCTCAACCCAGGGCCCTTATGGCCTCACCACACCTGCTGTGCACTCTCCCTCCTTCCTACACAGAGGCGGGGACTAGGCCAGTTCTTTTGGATGCCTCAGCCCTCTCTCGCGGGCGAGGGGATGGATGCATAGGTCCCGGCTCTTCCCTCATGAAGACGACTGGGGCTGCTGGGAAGGGCGTAGCTCCTAGACAGATACCCACCAGGCAGGGGCCGCCTTTCTGAATCCCTACTCAGGGAAGGCTCCAGGCTGTCAAGCTAAGGACCACCCAGATCCACCTGGGAATGGGCCCTTGAGCTGGTGCCTTAATAAACTCAGATCCCTCCCGGGGAAGCATCATTTGAAATTATTAGGCCAGATGTCCACAAGGCTGGCGCATCTGGGTCCGCCTGAAACAGTGCCCGTAGCCAGTGCCCCAGGGAGACCAACAGCTCAGGCCTGCCCTGCAGCAGGCTGGGTGTCCTCTGCAGGGGCGGCCCACGTGCTGATTTCTTACCAAGGACAGCATCTTCCCAGTTGCAATGGCGATCGCAGACTCCAGGGCCCCCGTGGTGGAGAAAGTCCAGCAACTGCCGCAGGCACCCTGGAAAGGCCAGGGGAGGGCAGAAGACGTGAGTGACAGGGACACCGTGAGACAGCGCTGCCAGAGCCCCAGAGTCCCCATGTTCCTTGACAGTTTACAAAGCCCTATTCCAAATCTGTGCGTTCTGAGCCTCACAAGCCCTGAGAGGCTTGCAAAGGAGCAGAAGCAGCAGGCGGCCTCTGACCAGCGCCTGTGGACTCCCAGTCCCTGCCCCTTGGTGGCCAATCCCCACCGTCCTGCGAGGGCCTGATCGCCCACCCCATTCTGCATCTTTTGGCCCTCCTCCTGCTCGATCTTCAGCTGGCTCCTGTTCTCCCCACTGTTCGCTGCGGAAGGATGCCCCAAAGTTCCGTTTGTAGAATCTTTTCTCTCCTTTCCACCTCCAATCTCATTCTGTCCACAGTCCTGCTAAACTAACAGCTCCCCCAACCCCAGCCTCAGTGCTGACCTCCACTCAGCCTCAGACATTCAACTCACTGCCAGACGACGCCACTCAGACAGCCCTGATACCCCAGACTCTGGGGGACCCGCCCCGTCCACCTTCTGATAGTTCATTGCTGCTGCCCAGCCCCCTTATTCACAACACCTCCAGAATAAGATGAGGGACAGGGGTTGGGGCTGTAGCCGGCCTGCCTGGGTCACATCCCAGCTCTGCCATACACCAGGTGGGTGACCTGCGCCAGTCACTTCCCCTCTTGAAGCCTTGACTTCATCGCTTGCAAAGTGGGAATGGCCAGGGCTGGTGATGGTGGGGCATTCGCAGCGTTAGGTCAGGTCCTGCTGATCAGCAGTCCCCTGGGGGCACAGTGCTGGCGGCTGCTGTTAGGATTTCTCTCAGGCTCATCTCTTTGCTCCCCTGTCTGGATCAGTCTTCCATCTTATACTTGTGAAAAGTCTCCAGGCCCCCTTCCTGCCTCCCATATCATCACCCCAGGTTCATGCTGACCTCCCCCGGTCTCTTCCTTCACATCCCTCTCCAGCCAGGGAGAGGAGGGGGTCGGTCTGGTGAGACCACGCCCACTGCTGAAGGAGACAGGTGGGTTGAGCCTCGGGCGCTGGGCTTGGGGAAGGGACCTGGTTTTAAGTCTCTGTCGTCACTTACTGACCTTGGACCTCAGGCAAACCTCCTTTCCTCTCAGGCTCCCCCTCCATCAAGACAGAAACTCTCAACGGGGGGTGCTGAGCGGCTGGACGCTGTAGAGGCTGCTGTCCGTCCCTGTCCCCACACAGCGGCCACAGTAAGAGATGGCACACATCTGCGACAGGAAGCACCTCATGCCACCCCCACCCAGCCGGCTTGGTCCTGCCTGATGGCCCGGGAGCAGTTAATAGGAGGCCCTGGAGAATTCTTGCCAGACCTCCCCTTCCCACCTGTCCAGTGTGAGCCGGTTGAGGTTCCCACCCTTACTATGAACTGAACTGTCCTGTGGTTCTCAGAGGGCCTAAAAGGAGCCCTAGGGTCACAGGGGCAAAGGCAGCCTCCTGCCCCGCCTCCTGCTGCAAGGGGAGTTTGCTTTGCCTCCTGGGTGCTAGTTAAATATCCAACACTTGGCAGGCTCCAGGAACGCTGCGAGCCTGGGAGGATTTAAAGCTGTGCTGTGCGGCTTTTTAGAAAGTGAAAAAACATTTCTTATGGAGAATTTCGATGGAAAGCCAGGAGTTTCCAGGAAGGAAACCTTCCCCTCATATTTCCTGGACTCCAGAGGTCCGCGTTTTTCTGAAGAAGGCCGAGACACAGTCACTGCTGGGGAGGGAGGGGCCGCAGCAGGCAGGAAGAACAGCGGGGGGGGGCAGGGTCCAGACTCTCCAGGACAGGCCTGCTGAGACCCTCCAGCTCCCCCATGGAGGAAGGCGGGGCCTCTCACCTTGCCAAGCCCACTGTGCCCTGCAGGGGTGCTGTGCCCCACAGCGCAGGCCGTGGATGCCAGCCTCTGTTCTGAGAAGCTTGTGATGCAGGAGACTTGGACTAATCAGAGGGCGGCGGCCACCCAGCGCAGGGGCTGGACCCTGGTGGCTCCGAGAGGATGGAGGCGGCAAGAGGAGATGCATGGGGTTCTCGGATTGGCAACATGGGGAACAGGATGTTTTGGGTGGCTCTGTGGGAGAGACCTGGGATTTCCCCATACCCCAGATTTTCTCAGTGGGGAAATCTAGGGTATGGGGAAATAAACTCTCAAGGGAGGGGGGGTGCTGGAAGGATCGGCGACCACTTTAGCCTAATAAAGGGGAGCTTTTGCATCCTCCAGAGCGGCTCAGAGAACTGGCGACCTCCCCAGCCTTTCAAAGGAAGAGGGCTGGAAGGAGGCGGAGGGAAAACAGGCAGGGAGGTGCTTGCCGTGGTTCTGTGGACCTTTTGAGTGGCCCTTCCTGGTGTATTGTCTGGGAGTGTGGCTGTTTTCGGGAAGAGGATGGAGATCGCCAGGCATACCTGATTTTTCACGGGTGAGACAAAATTTCCCTTTTTCCGCCAGTCCATGGAAGGTGGATAGGGACCAGTACCTCGGAGGTAGTTACTTTTGGTGGCTGAGCAATTCTGGAACAACCAAACACATTATTTTCAGGAAAAAAACCAAAACCAAAACTAAAAACCTTTCTGACAGCAAGAAGAACTGTATAAAGATGGAAACTCTGCCGGGTGCGGCGGCTCAAGCCTGTAATCCCAGCACTTTGGGAGGCCAACGCGGGTGGATCACGAGGTCAAGAGATCGAGACCATCCTGGTCAACATGGTGAAACCCCGTCTCTACTAAAAATACAAAAAATTAGCTGGGCATGGTGGCGCGTGCCTGTAGTCCCAGCTACTCAGGAGGCTGAGGCAGGAGAATTGCCTGAACCCAGGAGGCGGAGGTTGCGGTGAGCCGAGATCGCGCCATTGCACTCCAGCCTGGGTAACAAGAGCAAAACTCTGTGTCAAAAAAAAAAAAAGGATGGAAACTCCAAGAGAGAATGAGGAAGGCCGATGCTGTCAGAGCCTTCCTTCTCCTGTCTGTGAGTCCCAAATGCTAAATGGTATGTCCCCTTGAGGGTCCAGAGCATTAGGACACGGTAGACAGAAGTAGCAAATAAAAATACAGCTCACCTGGTTAAATGTGAATTTCAGGTAAACAATGAATAACTTTGTAGTGTACGTACATCCTGTGCAATATTGAGAATATACTTATGCTAAAGAATTACTTGTTGTTTATCTGAAATTCATTTTTAACTGAGCATCTATATTTTAATCAGGTAGATCTAAGTTAAGGGTCCACATTGCTAATGACATGGGCCTGGACTGAGGGACTGCTGAGAGCTGACTCCTCTGGTTCCTCCAACGAATCCGGGGACACCCTCAGCTGCATTTGGGGGATGGGACTGAATCTGCCTAGAACAGAGCAGGCACCAAATTTATTCCAAAGATTTCAGTAAAAAGATTCAGATTTGGTTGCAATGAATTATACCTACCTGAGGTTCTGACCAAAGGTACTTGTGTTTTATTTCAGCAAAGCTCATGTCTGAAAATTGGTTCACTGCCACTGAAAAAAGAGAAGGAGAAAATAAAACCAAAAACAGAGACAGTTAGTGACTCACTAATGAAGAAATAAGAAACAATGATGAAACCTCCTGTTTACCTGTGTCCTATTTAGAACCACTGCAACTCATCTCCTTTAAATTTCTGTATTTAATATAATTCAGTACACTGAGGTCAGCCCTCACGGTGCTTCTAAAACATCTGGGGAGCTTCTCAATGGTATAGATGTCTGGGCCGTACTCCAGAGATGCCAATACAGTTGGTCTCGGGTGGGGCCTGGGCACTCACTTTTTTAGATACTCCCCTGGTGAGTCTGGTGGATGGCTAGGTAAAGAGCCATTTCACCAGTGCCGGGGCCTTCCTGCCTGCTGCCTAATTCGGTCTCCACATGGTCCCAGGAGGGGGTGTGTAATCATGTTTGCCTTTTTTTCTTTTCTTTTTTTTTTTAAAGACTGAGTCTTGGTGTGTCTCCAAGGCTGGAGTTGCAGTGGTGCGATCTCAGCTCACTGTAACCTCTGCCTCTCAGTTTCAAGCGATTCTCCTGTCTCATCCTCCTGAGAAGCTGGGATTACAGGTGACCGCAACCATGCCTGGCTAAGTTTTGTATTTTTAGTAGAGATGGGGTTTCATCATGCTGGTCAGGCTTGTCTTGAATTCCTGACCTCAAGTGTTTCACCCACCTCGGCCTCACAAAGTGCTGGGATTACCAGTGTGAGCCACCGCACCCGGCCTCATTTCTGCTTTACTGCCTATGTTAGCATACCTGAAGGTCACATGCTAGGACTGGGCAGAAATGAGGTTCACGCCCATTTCCTTCCAGCTCATGCTTGATGCCTATATTCCTGATTTAGTCAATTACCAACATTTCTCAGAGTCCTCAGCAAATACGCTGGACGTGTGTGTGGGTTTCTAGTGAAATTAATTCAGAGTGAAAGCAGATGTTCCCAGGGGCTGCTCGCTCATGGGCTCAGAGCACGTGTCTGAAGAGGCCCTATCCCCTGCAACAATGCAAAGACACAGCTTGGCTTTTAGGCTGAACCCCCAGATGGCAGGAATCGGACAGGGGTTTCTACAGAGCCTCTTGTAAACTTCACAACTACCCACAGGAGTATCGGCATTGTCCCAAATTTATAATCCCACATTACACAGGGAGTGACAGTGGAGCCACAATCAGAGGTCAGCCAAACACAGCTTCAGAGCCCAGGCTTCGGCTCCCTTCACCCACAAGCCCCCAGTGGCCCTTTCATGGGCTGGGTCAGTAACTGACTAGCTTCCAGGAAGGAAGGCGTGCACGTACTTTTAAATGTGTGATTCCCGTTGTTGTGAGCGTTTATCTTCCTCCAGTTGCTGGCAAATGTCTGCAGCCTGTGCTGGTACTCCTCCTCCCGGCTGTATGTCTTATGGTGCTAAAACAAAACCGGCGGCAGCAAGTCAGGGAACAGGCTGCGGCTCCCTAGAGGGAGGCTTTTTTGTTTTCATAAGAGGAAGGATCAAAGTTTTCTTTCTGCTGTGATTCTCAGGCCAAATCTGTGTTAATGGGTTAACAAATCTGTGTGAAGCACTGCCCTTCGTCTCTGCTGAGAAATTTGGGAAGTTACAAAGTAATCCTGTCTTCAGGGACCTGTGGCCAGAATGAAGATCATACAGCTGCCTGGAAGTCAGCTCACGGTCCAAGAGGAACTGGTGAACAGACCTGGCACATGCAGGGCACTCCTGGACGCCACTGCTGGCGCTGGGCCAAGTTTATGGCAGAAATCCCCATTTTCCAAAAGCACATGCATTGGTGTTCTCCAACTGACTTTGTGACCAGGACACAATGTGCTTTGTTTTTTTTATTTTAATTTTTTAAATTTATTTTTTATTTATTTTTATTTTTATCATTTTTTTTCTCCTTTCTTTCTTTCTAAAGAAGGCTGTGGGGGCGCTTCAGTTTTTTTTTAAAAAAATGTGTATAATATTTTTATTCACATAGGTATACTTTTTCCGGTACATGCAATATTTCGATACATTCACATAATGTGTAATTATCAAATCAAGGTAATTGGGATATCCACCACTTTAAACATTTCTTTATGCTGAGAGCATTCAAATGATTCTCTACTAGCTATTTAGAAATACACAATAAATTATTGCTCACTACAGTCAAATCTACTGATTTGTTGGACATCAGGTCTCATTTCTTCTATCTAGTTATTTCTGGGCCGGGCGCGATGGCTCACATCTATAATCCCGGCAGTCTTTGGGAGACTGAGGCAGGTGCATCACCTGAGGTCAGGAGTTCAAGACCAGCCTGGCCAACATGGCAAAACCCCATCTCTACTAAAAATACAAAAATTAGCTGGCCATGTGGTAGGTGCCTGTAATCCCCGCTACTTTGGAGGCTGAGGCACAGAATCACTTGAGCCTGGGAGGCAGAGGTTACAGTGAGCTGAGATTGCGCCATTTTACTCCAGCCTGGGCAACAAGAGTGAAACTCCGTCTCAAAAAAAAAGGTTAAAAAAAAATTTTTGTTCTCATGAATCAGTTTATCTTCAACCCCCCTTCCCTCCCCAGTCTAGCCTCTGTAGTCCTTCTTCTACTCTTTCTCCACGAGATCCTCTGTTTTAGCTTCCACATATGAATGAGAACATGCATATTTCACTTAACATAATGACCTCCAGCTCCATTCATGTTGCTGCAAATGACAGAATTTCCTTCTTTTTTACGGCTAATTTTCTATTGTATATATACACCGTGTCTGCTTTACCTGTTGATAGGCACATAGGTTGATTCGATATCTCAGCTATTGTGACTATGTCTTCGATAAACACGAGGGTGCAGATATCTCTCCATTATACTAATTTCCTTTCTTTTGGATATATACTCAGTAGCAGGCTTGCTGGGTCATATGGTAGTCTGTTTTTAGTTTTTGGTGGAACTTCCATACTGTTCTTTACAGTGGCTGTACTAATTTACATTCTCCACAATGTGCTTTGAATACAAAATATAGAAATGAATCCCAGGGCTTGAAAGGCTGCCAGCCAGCTTCATCGCCTGGGACCGCTTTTTGGAAGGAGTTTACTTAATTGTATGTTTCCCAGTGTTTGGCCAATTCAGTGTCTAGAACAACCCCACTAGGCAAAGCTGGAAATTCCCTCTTTCATTGTCTAAATGTGGTACAGTGTGGTTTAATAACAGGAAACTTTGTGAAATGAAAAAGTTCAGAAAGAAGAAGTTGAGCACTGACCTTCGCCATCCATGACTTGAAGTGAAACTTCTCTATAAAAAGAAAACAAAAATTAGTTCTGGGCGTATCACAGTCACGTTGAGTCTAGAGCAAAGCAGGCCACTTTAGAGCTGATTTGCATTTCAAAAACTGGGCTAAATTTTAAACACCAAAAATGGTGTTATATAATGCGGAACGCAAAAAGAAACCCCAACTCTTCCTGGTATCTTACCTCAAATTAATGTGAAAAACTACATACTATTAATCAATGGTGTTAAAAGTCAGGATGGTGGTTATGCCTACTGGGTGGGGCACAGAAAGAGATTCTGGCTTATGTTCTGTTTCTTCATCTGGGGACTGGTTACCCGAGTGTGTTTAGATTGTGAAAAGTGGTGGAAATGCATACTCAATAATTTGTGCCCTTTTCTGTATGATGCTGTATTTCAGTAAGAAGTTAATTTAAAAACCTACTGCTGGACACAGAGGCTCATGCCTATAATCCCAGCACCTTGGGAGGCCCACATGGGTGGATCGCCTGAGGTCAGGAGTTCAAGACCAACCTGGCCAACATAGAGAAATCTCGTGTCTACTAACAACACAAAAAATCAGCTGAGCATCTGTAATGCCAGCTACTTGGGAGGCTAAGGCAGGAGAATCACTTGAACCCGGGAGGTGCAGTGAGCCAAGATTGTGCCATTGCACTCCAGCCTGGGCAACAAGAGCAAAACGCCATCTCAAAAAAAAAAAAAAAGGGGGCCAGGCGCGGTGGCTCACACCTGTAATCCCAGCACTCTGGGAGGCCAAAGCGGGTAGATCACGAGGTCAAGAAATCGAGACCATCCTGGCCAACACGGTGAAACCCCATGTCTACTAAAAATATACAAAAATTAGCCGGGCGTGGTGGCACACGCCTGTGGTCCCAGCTACTCAGGAGGCTGAGGCGGAAGAATCGCTTGAACCCAGGAGGCGGAGGCTGCAGTGAGCCAAGATTGCGCCACTGCACTCCAGCCTGGTGACAGAGCAAGACTCTGTCTCAAAAAAAAAAAAAAAAAAAAAACCTATCTACTTCAAGGGCTAGCATTTTTTTTTCCTTAAAGGGGTAGGTAGTAAATATTTCAGGCTTTGCAGTCTATATAGTCTCTGCCACAACTACTGAACTCTGCCCCTGTGGCTCAAAAGCAGCCACAGAGAGTGTGAACATTAATGGGTAGGACTGTGTTCCCGCGAGACTTCACAAAAACAAAACCTCACATGTACCCCCCAAATATGTACAGATATTATGTATCAAAAACATAATAGAACATACAAGACAAAGGAAAAACTTTAGAAAGCAGGCCAGCCAGCTGTTTTTGGATTCCTGCCATATTTCTCCACGTATGTTCTTATCTAAACATTTCATTTTTTCCTTTTCTTTTTTTAAATTTAAAATTTTTAAACATTTTTTAAATTTTTTAAGACAGGGTTTCACCATGTTAGTCAGGCTGGTCTTGAACTCCTGACCTCAGGTGATCCGCCTGCCTTGGCCTCCAAAGTGCTTGGATTACAGGTGTGAGCCACCACGCCCGGCCTAAACATTTCATCTTAAATTTGAACGCCTCCAAAGACATATTCCAACTTACAAATATTGAGATTTAAACGTAAGGCCTGGCACTGTGGCCCAAGCCTATAATCTCAGCACTTCGAGAGGCTGAGGTAGACGAATCCCTTGAGATTGAGACCAGCTGGGGAAACAGAGTGAGATCTCCTCTCTACAAAAAAATAAAAAAATTAGGCGGTAGGATTGCTTGAGCCCAGGAGGTTGAGGTTGCAATGAGCTGTGATAGGGCCACTGCATGCCCACCTGTGTGACAGGAGACTTTGTCTCAAAAAAAAAAAGAAAAAATCGAACAATAAGATTGTTATATCATTCTTTTAAAGCCAGCCAGTGGAACAGTGGAATCTAAATACCAAGATGATTTGATATACACCATCAATAACTTGAACAAACTTCTCTGTAAAGAGTCAGATATTTAGGCCAGGTGCAGTGGCTCACGCCTATAATCACAGCACTTTGGGAAGCCAAGTGGGGCGAATCACCTGAGGTCAGGAGTTCAAAGCCAGCCTGGCCAACATGGCAAAACCCTGTCTCTACGAAAAATACAAAAATTAGCTGAGGGTGGAGGCGGGCACTTGTAATAGCAGTTACTTGGGAGGCTGAGACAGAAGAATCGCTTGAACCTGGGAGGTGGAGGTTGCAGTGAGCCGAGATTGCGCCATTGCACTCCAGCATGGCGACAGAGCGAAACTCCAACTCAAAAATACAAAACAAAACAGAATCAAATGTTTTACAGAGCTTCTTTTTCTCCTTCAACACCTGTCTCCATCCCCACCTGGCAGCATATTATCCCAATTTTATCCTAATTTTTTTTTTTTTTGAGACCAGAGTCTTGCTCTGTCGCCATGCTGGAGTGCAGTGGCACGATCTCAGCCCATTGCAACCTCCGCCTCCTGGGTTCAAGCGATTCTTCTGCCTCAGCCTCCCGAGTAGCTGGGACCACAGGTGTGTGCCACCATGCCCAGCTAATTTTTGTATTTTTAGTAGAGATGGGGTTTCACCATGTTGGCCAGGATGGTCTCGATCTCTTGACCTCGTGATCCTCAGCCTCCCAAAGTGCTGGGATTACAGGTGTGAGCCACCACGCCCAGCCAATTTTATCCTAATTTTTATGCTTGATCACTTTTCCATTCTTCTCTGTAACAATAAAAAGTATAAATTTAAATGATTTTTACTACCTGTGACCCATATCTGTAACTATTATAAAAATTTATTATGGATTGAGTTATCCATAATTATTATTAGTGTCCCAACTGATTAAAACATTTTAAATGTATTATACATTATGAAAAACAATTGTTAAACATCAAAAATAAAATCGTATCAGAAATGTATCTCTTACGGAGATAAACAGGACTCTACTACTCATCCCCCGCAATGGATTTATATTTTCAGGAGTGAATATTGTTTGAGGAAAGGGTCAGTATAATTCTGGTCTTATTTTTGTTTCTTATAGGTCAAAGCGCTGGGAAACCCTACTCAAAGAGGCAGCTGGAAATGGAGGCAGTTTTCAAGAGCAATGCCGTTTAATTCTTTGCGTTCCTTTCTGTGCATCCAATTCCATGGTGCTCTATCACTCAACATGCTTTCTTTCTTTCTTCCTTTTTTTTTTTTTTTTTTTGACAGAGTTTCGCTCTGTTGCCAAGTGCCAGGCTGGAGTGCAATGGCACAACCTCCGCCTCCCAGGTTCAAGCAATTCTCCTACCTCAGCCTCCCAAGTAGCTGGGATTACAGGTGCGTGCCACCACGACCAACTAATTTTTTTTTGTATTTTTTAGTAGAGAAGGGGTTTCACCATGTTGGCCAGGATGGTCTCGATCTCCCGACCTTGTGATCCACCCACCTCGGCCTCCCAAAGTTCTGGAATTATAGGCGTGAGCCACTGCACCCAGCCCTTTCTTCCTTTTTATTATTTTTTTTGAGATGGAGTCTGGCTTTGTCGCCCAGGCTGGAGGGCAGTGGTGCAATATTGGCTCACTGCAACCTCCACCTCCCAGGTTCAAGCAATTCTCCTGCCTCAGCCGCCTGAGTAGCTGGGATTACAGGTGCTCACCACTACATCTGGCTAATTTTTGTATTTTTAGTAGAGACGGGGTTTCACCATGTTGGTCAGGCTGGTCTCGAACTCCTGACCTCAGGCGATCCCTTGCCTCAGCCTCCTAAAGTGCTGGGATTATAGGCGTGAGCCACCACACCCAGCTGTTCCTATTGTTTTTATACCCATGGGTTCAGGTTCAGATTGAATGAAAGGAAAGAGGTCCCCCCTTGCCTTCAGGGGCTATCTCCCAGTTTTAGCAAAGAGGGCATTTGGAAATACAAGGTCTGTAAATGGATTCCCAGAACACTCTCTGTGCCAGCATCACTTGGAATATCTTTGTGTTCCACCAAGGACCCACACCTCCAGTGTGAAGATCACTACCACACAGCATTTATATCTCCTTTTCTGGGTCTTGAACCTGGTCCAGAGACCAACCTATGGCCAATTTCCCAGGGGAAAAAATGCATATTTCCCCAACATGGGTCCCTTTAAGGTTTCAGGGGATTCCAAACCTTGATTAAGGGCCCTACTGCAGCTGAAGGCTTTAGAGGAGGACAGTCTTCAACTCAGGACAAGGGTTGTTTGCCTCTAGGAAGATTATTCTGGGGCCAGAATAATCTGCTGGTGAACGGTGCCCTACCCTCGAATAGATCCATTTCAGTCTCGTTAGGACTTTTGAAAGCGCCATGATGTATGCCCTGCCTGGATTAGAGCAGGTGACAGGAAACTACAGTATTCCCTTTTTTTTTTTTTTTGATGGAGTCTTACTCTGTCACCCACACACCCAGGCTGGAGTGATTCCAACTCCTGTTTTCAAGAGATTCTTCTGCCTCAGCCTCCCAAGTAGCCGGGACTAGAGGTGTGCGCCACCACGCCCAGGTAATTTTTGTATTTTATTAGAAACGGGGTTTCAACATGTTGGCCAGGATGGTCTGGGTCTCCTGACCTCGTGATCCACCCTCCTCGGTCTCCCAAAGTGCTGGGATTACAGGCGTGAGCCACTGTGCCTTACAGAAAAAGCTTGCCAAACCCTACTCTGGAATTCAGACAGCTTCTCGGTGCCAGCCTGCTCCACACAGCCCGCTTGTGGGGGCGGAGTTTTCCTTAGGCGGGAACTGACTTGGAGCTGGAGGCCCACTGAGGTTTACAAGGCTGGGGGGCTTTCTTTTATAAGCAGGTGGGAAGGAATGAGGCAACCCTCTGCCTGAGATTGATTCAGCCTCAGTGATCTTTGTCCCATGCCCTGAGCCTCTCGCTGGAGGAAAGCCCTGTCCCGTTCCTCCAGGGCTCAGGGCACCCCCTCCCTAGGTTCTGGACTCCTCTGCGAAGAGGGCAGGTGGTCTTTAAGTTCAGAGCCTGTGGGCTGAGGCTGGGACCAGGGGCTGCAGGAAAGGAGGGGGCAGTAGGGAAGAGCAGGCTCCTTGCCTTCAGCCGGGGGAGGTGCCTGAGCCCGGCCAGCAGGCAGGGCGCAAGGGCAGCAGGAAGCTGCAGTCACGGCCGACTGGCCAACAAGGGAGTCCTGGGGCTCCGCCTGACAGCATGGGCCCTGGGGTGCGGGAAAAGCACCGCTGGTCTCGGGGCTTTCCTTGGTGCGGTTGCCCAGGGATCTGCTCCTCCAAACAGGCAGCCCGCTGTGCAGATGGGACCCCACGACACTACGGGGATCCCCTGGTTGCCCAGTCCCGGGGAAGCTGCTAGGAAGGCTGGGAAGTCCCTGCGCAGCTCTGGGACAATCGGAGTCCGTGTGCACTCAGCGGAGGGCGGACGGAGTGCGGGCTCCTCCGGTATTCCAGGCTAGGGCGCCGCCCGGACACTCGCCCGTGCTCCTCCGGGCCCGCCTGCCGCCCCGCTCCCAGACCCCCTGCCCCGCCAGCGCGCAGAGCCCCGGCCTCCGCCGGGGAAAGCTCCGCCCGGTTCCCCGGGGCCCAGGGCGCCCCCCCGCGTACCTAAGGAGTTCACCGACAGCTCGGCGGCGCCGCGGGCCGGGGCTCCCAGGAGACAGGCCCCGGCGCAGAGCAGCGGCAGCGCGGCCCACATCCCGTCGGCAGCGGAGGGACTCTGGCGCCCGGGACTGGCGGAGGTGGCGGCA